TCAGAGCGCCTGCCTGGCAAGTGCAAGGTCCTGAGTTTGATTCCTGATACCAAAAAAAATAAAAAATTAAAAATAATACACTATGGGCCGAGATCTCTTGGCTCTGTTGTACTTTGTTTCATTTATTTAAATGTTAAAATCCAAAACTGAGCATTGTGCTGCATGCCTATAATCTCAGCACTCTGCAGTGTTGAGGTGAGGATTGTAAATTTGAGCCTGGCCTGGACAATAGTGAGACTGCCTCAAAATAAAACAGGGCTTGGCATATGGCTCAGTGTGAAGGCTAAGGGTTCATTCCCTAGTATTGCCTTAGATTGGTAAGTATAATAAACTTACCATGAAAAATTCTTCATAGCGTGAGACTACCTGCCATGTTGTGGTTGATCTGTGCTAAACCAGGCTTTTGAGTTTTTTGGTCTGGGAGGTAGAGTATTAGAGTACATGCTTACTGTCAATCCTCAGCACTAAATAAAGAAATAAATTAATTCTTGTCTGAAGGAATCTAGGTGTATGGACCTGAAAAGAACTTCGAAAACTTCTTTGGGTGTATTTGTCAAATACTTCAGTTTTTTTTGAGACAGTCTCACCTAGGTAGTTTTGGCTGGTCTTCCCAAGTGTTGGGATTATAGGTGTGCACCACCACACCCAGCTATTTTCAAACATTTAAAACTAAGGAATAATAGGACAAATGCCTGTATACTCATAACCTTGTTTTATAAAATCCCAACATTGTGCTTTATATGCAGTTCAAATATTTTCTCTTTTAGGTCTTTTAAGAAATTAAACATTACAAATACATTTGAAGAATTGTTGCACAGGTTGTAAAACCTTAGGACCTTATTAAAAAATATACTATACGTAAAATTTGCTGGTTTTGTTTGATAGTTTTTGGCAGTTTATCTATGTTAAAAATTGTGGCTGTTTTGTTTGTTTGTTTGTTTGGTACTGGGAATGAAACTCATGACCTCAAGCTTGCCAGGCAAGTACTTATGCTGCTGAACCATATATCCCTGGCCCGTGTTTGTTTGAACTGTTTTTTTTTGTTGTTTTTTGGGCTTTTTGAGACAGTCTCGCTATGCAGGTCAGGCTGGCCTTGAGCTCACATTGTAGCCCAGGCTGGTTTCAAACTTGCCATGATCTTCCTGCCTCAAACTCCCGAGTGCTGAGATGATAGGCGCGCGCCACCACGCCTGGCCCATTTGTTTGAACTGTTAAATGTTGCTCTTGGAGGGTTTTTTAGAATCATTCTACAAAGCCTGTTGTACATGACAGTGTGTATTACATTTAGTTGAGTCCTTATATGTGTTGACAGATCAAATGAGTAGTTTTCTTTTTTCCATTGATGTAAGACATAACTGCTTGCCGGGTGGCTAGCCCCAAGAAAATAGGTTAAGGGCACAAGATGATGGTGAGGGCCAGGGATTCAGCTCAGTGGTCCAGCACCTGCCTGGCAAGCATGAGGTCATGAGTTCACTTCCTTGTACCAAATAAAAAACAAGATGATGGCGAAAACTCTGAAACTCTTGCAGTAGTGTTTACAGATGTTGGTTCTTTAAGGATTATTAGAAAGACGTTGTTTTTTACTTGTGATTTTGAGACACTGTGTTAAAATTTATACTGAAAAGCTGAGCCTGGTGGTGCATACCTGTAACTCCAGGACCCAGGAGCTGAGGCTGAAGGATTGCTAGTTGGAGGCCAGGTTGGACTACATAGTGAGTTCAAGGCCAGTGTGAGTCCCTGTCTGCTCTTCCTCCCCAAAAAAAAGGTGTGATCAAATAACAATTTAAAACAAAACAGCTGATGTTGAGAACAGTTGACCAGAAAAAGATGGTTCATTTGATGGTTTTAAAAAATTATCTAAAGACTCACAGACTTCTCTCAGGATTTAGATTCCATACTTTTTTTTTTTTGGTACCAGAAATTGAACTCAGGACCTTGTGCTTGCCAGGCAGGCACTTGTGCCACTGAGCCATATCCCTGGCTAGATTCCATACATTTAATTTGAAACTTGAGTACCAACAAAAACAATCAGGTAAAGTTTGGTGAGAGCTAGGATTTCCCATGTATCTAGATATGCTTGAAATTAATGATTACTTTGAATGCATTTATTTTTTGTGAGACTTCTAAGGTTATTGCTATGAATAATAGTGAACAGATTTTCACGTTTGAGAAAGTTTATTGGAAAATTGTATTTCTGGTACTTAAGAACAATAAACATTTTTTTTCACATTCAAGTGCAGTAATTTTTATTTGTGTTGCTGTAAGTACTGTTCACTGGCCCAGGAGTCAGAGAACTGTCTTAGCTATGATTATGGTTGATTTTTATGGCTGTTTTGTATTAAGAGATTATTTGCATGTAAAACAAGGATTTTGGAGGCAGTAAAATAAGGATTTTGAAGGCAGTAAAATCTTAAAACATCCTTGATCGCGTGAAACTTGATTGCACTGTAGATGAAGGAAATACAAGGTTGTAAAATTACCATCATGGAGTAAATTTCTTCTTTTGTGTCTTGACTTTGTAGGGTGTGACTGAGTGTTATGAATGTCACCCTAAGCCAACCCAGAGAACTTTTCCTGGCTGTACAATACGTAACACACCTTCAGAACCCATTCATTGCATCGTGTGGGCAAAGTATTTGTTCAAGTAAGAGTACATGTTTTCGGACATTTCAATACTGCTGATGGGAAATGATGTCATTTTTATTTAAATACAGAAATTGTATTTACAGTGTTTAAATATGGTGAAGGGACACTTTGGTAGCTTTTTTGTGATACTTTTTGTGTTAATTTAAATCAGATAACATTCATTGCATGCCACAGATGGTATAGGAAGCTTAGTCTGATATTAGAGACAGGCACATAACTAAATACAATATATATATTTGGAAATTTAAAAATGTACTTAAACAATTCATAGGTTCTAAAAGAAATCACCTCATAGGTTCTAAAAGAAATCACAGGCCAGGCGTGGTGACACATGCCTGTAATCCCAGCAGCACTCAGGAGGCTGAGGTAGGAGGGTCAATGTGAGTTCAAGGCCAGCCTGGGCTACATAGTGAGTTCACAGCTAGCCCGAACTACATAGTGAGACCCTGACTCGAAAGAAAGAAAGAAAGAAAGAAAGAAAGAAGAAGTCCCAGCTGGACATAGTGGCACATGCCTTTCATTGTAGCACTCCAGGAAGCTCAGGTGGAAGGATTGCCAAGGTTAAGTCCAGCCTGAGCCTGAGAAATTAGACTTAGTGAGACCTTGTCTCAAAAAAAAAAAAAAAAGAGGGCTGGGAATGTAGCTTAGCGGGAGGCTCTGGGTTCAACACCGAGGGCCCTGTGTGCATGGTGGGGAATAGCTTCATAGTAATAGTGAAAAAATGTTTCCTTGAAACACATAGGATGCATTAAATGTGGTAGTTGGAAGAAAAGTTTTCAGACAGAAAGAAAAGCTGAATGTTAGTGATCTAAGAGTCCAATTTATGTGAGAAAATGAATCATAAAAAACCTTAAAAGAACAACAAAATAGAAGAGATGGTTGAAATATGAGAAAAAAAATCCTGGCAGGATTTATTATCCAGTGAGAGAGATGTGATACGTGAGTGCTAACCAACATAATTTCATCACTGAATGGATTGATGGTAAGAAAAACAGATAATAAGAGGAAGCCATGCAGTACATTGAAAAAAAAAATGTGGTTGTGGGTTTTTTTTTTGGTCTTTTTGAGACAGGTTTTCACTATGCAGTTCAGGCTGGCCTTGAACTCACTGTTTAGCTCAGGCTGACCTCCAACTCATAGTAATCGTAGTGCCTCAGCCTCCCGAGTGCTGGGATTACAGGTGTGCACCATCACACCCAGCTGCCCAGAGAAATTTTTAAAAAAGCATGCTTACTTTATGTTACAGAGCCAGCATGTCTTTAATACCAGAATCGGGGGGCTGGGGATTTAGCTCAGCGGCAAAAGCGCCTGCCTGGCAAGCGCAAGGTCGTGAGTTCGGTTCCCGGTACCGGAGAAAAAACCAAAAACAAAACAAAACAAAATACCAGAATCGGGTAAAGCTGTTTTTGGTGTAAGAAAATTGCAAGATAGTCTTCCTCAAAAATAAAAATGCAGAAATCTTTTCTTGAGACATGGTCTTGCTGTGTGGTTCAGAATGGTGAATGCATTTTGAACTCACTATGCAGCTCAAGCAGTATTCCCGAAGTCTCTCAATACTGCTTTTTTTTTTGATACCAGGAATTGAACTCAGGACCTTGTGCTTACCAGACGGGCGCTTATGCCACTGAGCTATATCCCCGGACCTCTCAGTACTGCTTTATTGCTTCAAGGAAGTCTGGCTCCTTTTATTGAAGAATGGCATTAGAAATCAAGATCTAGAATGGTGTATAGGACTACCACTAGAGTATCATTTTAGGCCTTTTGTAGTTAAACACAGCAAAAAATGTTTATGCTAACCTCTGCCCATATCTATAAATTGTGTATCTATCTAAACTCTTGGGTCCAGGGATATATAGCTCAGTGGTGCAATGCTTGCCTGGCAAGTGCCAGCCCTGAATTCGGTTCCCAGTACCCACCCTTTGAAAAATACCTCTCCAGCTCTAAACTGTCTATTAGTACAAAGATCATTTTAGTATTTTCTCCTTATGTGTAAACTCCATTTTGATGGTCAGAATCTTTGTTCTTATCACGTGCCATCCATATACTTAGTACATACATTACTTTAAGTGATTAAATTTTTAAGACTTCGGTTTGAAATGAGAGACAAGATGAGGATGTTCATTATTGTTGCTTCTGTTTGATATTCTGGTGTTCTACTGGCTAGGCAGCACAATGATGCCAAAAAATAAAAATAAGAAAAGAAAAATAGTTGGGTGTGGTGGCTCAGGCCTGTAATCCTAGCACTGGGGACCCTGAGCTAGGAGGATCACTATGAGTTAGATAGAGGCCAGCCTGGGCTACAAAGTGAGTTCAAGGCCAGCCTGTACTGCATAGTGAAGCCCTGTCTCAAAGACAGAAACAAAACAGAACAGGAAAGAAAAATACAACGCTATGAGTTGGGAAAGGAGTTAGGACATGTTGGTGCATACTGGTAATCTGGTAATCCTAGCTATTGGAAAGGCCAAGCCCATCTTCAGTAACTTATCAAGAGTTTATGTCAAGATAATATTTTCAAAAAGGGGGACTGGAAAAGCTGCTCTTTGCTGTGTCGTTCAGGCTGACCTCAAACTTGGAGTGATCCTCCTGCCTCAGCCTCTCGAGTGCTGGAATTACAGGCAGGGGCCACCACCTTGCCCAACCTCCCAAATTTAAAGAATGTATTAAAATTAAGTCTAAGCCTGGTATAGTCGTACATTTGTGTGATTCCAGCACTCTGGAGGCTGAGGCAGAAGGATCATAAATTCATTCTCAACCCTGGCAATTGAATTGGTTAGTGAGACCCAAGATGAAAAATAAAAAAAAGGCTGGGGATATATATATATATATAGTTAAGTGTAAAGGCCCTGGGTTCAGTCCCCAGCATGGATAATAGAAAAATAAAAATTAAGTCTAAGTGGATTAAGGTTGAGCTGTAACAGACAAAAATACACACCTTATAAGAGGAAGTTCTTATCCTCAGGGTTAGGGAACAATTTCTTTCTTTTTTCCTGGTACTGGGAATCAAACTCACGACCTTGTACTTGCCAGGCAGGTGCTATGCCTCTGAGCTAAATCCCCAGCTCTAGGGAACAATTTCTTAAGGTACAAGTCATAGTAACAGGAAAAGATTGATATGTTCAGATCTATTAGGGAGCTATCGGAAGACATTAATTGATGTATAAATAATATGTAGGAGAAAAGATCATAATCCATAAAATGTTCCTTTAATCAACGAAAGACATGAATGTTGGCTGTGCAAGTGCACACCTCTAATTCCAGCTACTTGGGAGGCTGAGGCAGGAAGTTGAAAGTTTGAGGCCATCCTGGGCATGTTAGTGAGAAATTTTCTCTAATTGTTTCCTTTTTTAAAAGAGGGTCTTGCTTTTCAGTTCAGTCTGGCCTTGAACTCATTGTGTAGCCCAAGTTGGCCTCGAGCTCAGTGTCCTCCTGCTTCAGTCTTCCAAGTTCTGGAATTACGGTGTGTGCCACCACGCTTGGCTCAAAACAAATTTTTTAAAAGGGGCTGGAATAGGGGCTGGGGATTTAGCTCAGCGGCAAAAGCGCCTGCCTGGCAAGCGCAAGGTCGTGAGTTCGGTTCCCGGTACCGGAGAAAAAAAAAAAAAAAAACAGTTATAAAAGGGGCTGGAAGAAAAAGGAAAGGGAAGTAAAATTAGGTGTTACATACTTGTGCCAATGACTGTAATTATGTTTTGCAAACATGTACTAATAAAAATGAAAATGAAAATGGCTGGGGGTTTAGGTCAGCATTCCCTGGGTTTGATCCCCACTACTGTTTAAAAAGAATTGGTTAAGATGTAGCTATGACATAGAGGGCTTAGCATCTACGAGGCTCTAGCTTCGAACTGCAATGCCACCCCTGTCCAAGTGCCAGTTTTGGTGGCACACATCTGTAATCTCATGCAATCTCGGCACTGTGGGTTGCTGAGACTGGAGGACTGCAAGTTCCAGTCTGTTTTCTAAGACTGTGCAGTAGTTAAGATATGTACTACTGTTAAAATAAAAGTATCTTGTTCACTGCTGGTTATCCCAACCTTTCATAGGACCTTGCGTATAGCAGGTATGTAATAAGAACACCTAGCTGTAGGTGTATTTCACAAATGTTACTCTGAAGTTGGACATCTCAAGAAGGCTTCTAAAGGCAAACTGGGTTGATCACAGATTTTGACATCATTGTGTACAGAGCCTAGCCGATAGAAATGCTGGGGCTGGGGAGTTAGCTTAGCGGCACAGAGCCTGCTCGGCAAGCGCAAGCTTGTGAATTCGATCCCCAGTACCGGAAAAAAAAAAATGCATGTAGATCTTCTGTTGTAGCTGATGTTAGCTTGAAAGCTATCTGAACATTCTGCTTTAATTCTCTTACTTTTATGTAATGTAATCTGTGAATTATTGGGGCTGGGGATTGGCTCAGTGGCACAGAGCCTCCCTGGCAAGTGCAAGGTCCTGAGTTCAATTCCTGGTACAAAAACTAAAATAAAATTTATGAATTGTTTGCTCTTTATCCCTATTAAATGTGGAATACTCTGGTGTTTGTGAGGAAAGTAGGAAAAATTACCACATTTATTTAAATACCTTATTTACAAATGCTCTCTACTTTTAAAATTGTAGCCAGTTGTTTGGGGAAGAAGATGCTGATCAAGAAGTATCCCCTGACAGGGCTGACCCTGAAGCTGCCTGTAAGTAAACATATTTAGTATGTTTTTATATTAGTGACTATTACATTTATTTTACTAATTTAATATTGGCGGGTTAAGAGTAATATTTATTGTTATGTTCTTCACATATGTTGTTTCATTTTTAAAGCATTGTACCAGGGAAGTAGATCCATCTTATTGGTGAAGAGAAATTTCACAAATCTAATAATTAGAGCTGGGAGTCATTCTTAGAACTGATGACAGGATGGTGCTTTTGAACACTTAAGCATTTGGCTTTTAGAAACTGAGGCACAAAAAATGCTGATGAGTGTGTTATTTTCTTTTTTCCTGGAACTCGATGTCTTAACATGCAGATGACTTCCATGAGTGACTCCACTCTTCCATGAGTGACCCCCACAAATTAGTGAGCGAGCGCTAAGTTCTACATTGAAAGTAAGATAAGATCGGGCATTGTGGTACATTCCTATAGTCTCAGCACTCTAGCAGACTGAGGCAGGAAGGTTGCAGGTTCAAGCCCAGTTGTATAACTTACGTAATTTAGCAAGATGTCTCAAAAAAGAAAGAAAAGAAAAGAAAAGAAAAGAAAAGAAAAGAAAAGAAAAGAAAAGGAAAGAAAAGAAAAAGGCTTGTAGAGTGAACACCCTGGGTTCAATCCCCAGTAATATATACACATATTAAAAAACAACAACAAAAAAAACCCCAATTATTTGTTTTGTAGGGGAACCAACAGAAGCTGAGGCCAGAGCCCGAGCATCTAATGAAGATGGTGACATCAAACGTATTTCCACGAAGGAGTGGGCTAAATCAACTGGATATGATCCAGTTAAACTTTTTACTAAGGTTAGGTTTACTTTGTTTACAATTTTGGATAGATCTACTATTTCTACTTCTGTTTGTATTAAAGTAGTATGTAAAATTGGGCAGGGTACACCTGTAATCCCAGCTACTCAGTACTAGCCTGGGCAATTTAGCAAGACCCCAAAATTTATAAAAGGGCTGCAGGGGTAGCTCAGTGTTAGAGCACTTAGCTGGCATACCTGAGGCTCTGGCAATCAATCTCTAGCATCCTTAAATTAAATATGTATAAAATTAAATTAAGCTTTGTATGTATATATAAATATTGTCTTAACAGCAGCTTATATTTTTTCCTTTTCCTCATCAGTAACAGTAAGATTTTATAGATTGCCTCTTTTAAACATGTTGTATTTATTTCCTCACACAGTCTTTTTTTTTTTTAATTGGGAAAATGGTCTGTGTTTCTTTTTTGTTGTTGTTGTTTTTCCGGTACCGGGAATCGAACTCTCAACCTCACGCTTGCCAGACAGGGGCTGTGCCACTGAGCTAAATCCCAGCCCCCTAGTTTGTGTTTCTGTTATACCTAAAATGACTAAATTATAATGTGGATAACAGCAATAATTTTCAAACTGTTACTGTCAGTGCCTATTTTTGTTCCTACACCAGTGCAATTCTATTGCAAGGGAGTCTTTCAGGACCACTTTAACGGCATCAAGGGGGATGTACTGTACCATTCTAGGATCTGATGTTCGTATTGTAACCAGTATGGAACGTTGCTTCTGGAAGTGTGCAGTGCCATCTGCATTCCTACTAGGTCAGGGAGGAGAAGTAACCTCACCAGGACTTGAGTTTGTATGAGGAGCAGAGAAGAATCAGGAATGACGCCTAGTTTCTTTTTGGGCACTTAGATAAAACAGGTACCATTTTCTGAGACAGGTGAGGTGGGAAGTAAGCGAATCAAGGGGTTTAGAGGAGTAGGAGAAAGTAATGCAATTAGTTTCAAACTTTAGATTGCTCTAGAGCATTAGATCCTTGATAAATGATTCTGTAGATAAGTAAGAATTTAGTCTTAAGGATATGATTGGGACTCAAGTGTCTAGGTGTAATTTAAGCCAGGGCTGGTGGCACATGCCTATAATCCCAGCACTTAGGAGGATGAGGCAGGAGGATTGTTGGGAGTTCAAGGCCAGCCTGGGCTACAAAGTGAGCTCAAGACCAACCTAAACTGCATAGCAGTACCCTGTCTCAAAAAGGGAAAAAAAAAATAGATGTAATTTAATTATTTAATTTATGGGAATGTACTTTTTTTTTTTTTTTTTTTTGGTTTTTCTCTGGTACCAGGAACCGAACTCGCGACCTTGCGCTTGCCAGGCAGGCGCTTTGCGGCTGAGCTAAATCCCTAGCCCTATGGGAATGTACTTGATATGTTAGGGATAGCATAGAGCAGAGGGATCTGTCCAGGACTCTTAGGAATGCTTAGTATTTAGTGATTGCTGGGGAAAGGAGAAGAAGGACATAGAGTTTTTCCTTGGAAAACCACTAATTCTCCCTTGTCTGGCAGACTTTTCTTGGCCAAGCATTCAGTGTCCTCTAAAAATTGTATTCAGCTACATCTGTTACCCAAATTGTAATAGACTCATCATCCCTTTGCCTATTCACCCATTGCAGATTTTACCATCCCCTTGTAGTCCTTCCTTATTCCTTAGATAAAACAAAAATCTTTATACTACTGTTTTGTGACTTTAAAAAAAAACTTAAAATTTTTACACCAAATTGTGTTCTATTTATTTGTATATTTACTTGTTTTCCAAAAAATAGGAATTGAATATTTTGAAAGAAGTAGTTACTTAAATTTAGCCTGGCTGGGTGGTGATGCATGGCTGAGAGTTAAAGGCTGGCCAGAACTGCAGGCGGAGACCTTGTCTCAAGAGACCAAAATTAAGCCAGATGTACATTCTTAAGTAGCACTTGGTGTAAATATGTTGAAAAAAATTAATAATAGAAAATGCAGGTAGAGAAAAAATAAAAATATTAAAGTCACCTGAAGTCCTACTACATATTTTTATGTGCTGGTTTCTTAGTTTGTGTGTGTTAGTGGTTTTTTAATAATTTGTTTGCATGGCAGTTTTTTTTGTGTGTGTTTTTCAAAAGCTTTATGTGTGTGGAAAGGGAGCGGGTATTGGGATCACATTTTGAAGGTTACAGATAATTAAGAATTTCTGTTGAGCTCTTGTAGGATGAATATGCCCAACTGGCGTGTACTCACAAACTTGGAGATGCTGTTACTGGTATCTCTAGACTCAGTGATTGTATTCTGTTCTTGTAGAGTTGATGCATATCTATTTGAATGCTTTAATTTGCTTTTTTTTCTTATTTTTTATTTTATTTTAAAGAGAATAAAGAACTATAAATGATATAGAATTTCAAAACAAGATGATAGGATATTAACAATGGTTATTATATTACATATTGTTATCTTCAAAGTAGTTGCTCAGATTACTACATATAGGCAGGTAAAATTGATCAGACAATATAAGCACTAACTGTTCCTTTCAGTGAACTAATAGAAATTAATAGTACAGTTATCTTAGCTATCTTGTGTGTGTATGTGTATATATATATATATATATAAAATTTTTTTTTTCCCCCCTTCTTTTCTGTGTTCCCCCATCCCAGTTGTTCTTTCCTTTTAAACAGTTTCTTTCCCTTTCACAATATCTATTGTACCTTTTGGAACTTATTTACTCTTTCAGTTTCTTACACAAGGGAGACAATACAGTGTTCACATATGTGAGTCTCACTTATTTCACTTATGAATATGCTCTTGAATTGCATCCATTTACCTGTAAAAGCCTCCAGTTTATCTCCCTTTATAGCTGAGTAGTACTCCATGGTATAAAAATACCACATCTTCTTTATCCATTCCTTGATTGATGGACATTTGGGTTGTTTCCACAATTTAGCTATTATAAATTGTGCTGCTATAAGTGCACATATATAGCTGTGGTGTGATGTTTTCATTTCTTCTGGGAAAATACCCAGACAGGGAATAGCTGGGTCAAGTGGGACCTGTAATCCAATTTTTTTGATGAATCTCCACACTGATTTCCACAGTGGTTGCACCAACAGTGGAAAAGGGTTCCTTTTCCCTCTCCATCCCACCAGGATTTGTTATTGGTTGATTTCTTGATGATAGCCATTCTTTTTGGGGTGAGATAGAATCTGTATTGTTTTAATTTGCATTTCTTGAATGACCAGTGATGTTGAATGTTTTTTCATATATTTATTTGCCATTTGTAGTTCTTCATCTGAGATGTGTGTATTCATCTCAAATGCCCATTTATGGATTGGGTCTTTGAATTTAGGGGGTCTGATTTTTTTAAGTTGTTTATGTGTTCTAGTAGAAAAGTCTTTTGTCTGGGGGACAGTTAACTAAAATTTTTTTTCCCAATTTGTAGGTTTTCTTTTCACTCTGTTAGTGATTTCTTTTGATTTGCAAAAACATTTTAATAAGATGAGATCCCATTTGTTGATTCTTTGAATTATTTCCCGTGCAATTTGGGTTTTGTTTGTGGACTCTCTGCCTACCCCTGTGTTTTCAAGATTTCTACCCACTTTCTCTTTCAGTAGATTTAGTGTTTCTGTTTTAATGTTTAGATCTTTTTTTTTTTTTTTAAATTTTTGGTACTGGGAATCGAACTCGGGACCTTGCACTTGCCAGGCAGGTGCTTGTGCCACTGAGCTATATCCCCGGCAATGTTTAGATCTTTGATCCAGTTTGACTTTAGTTTAGTGCATGGTGATAGACACAGGTTTAGTTTTAGTCCTTGGCATGTGGAAAGCCAGTTTTTCCAGCGCCATGAGTGCCTTAATTTGTTGTGATACTTCATAGTGATTTTTGGAGTTTTAGGAGAACTTTTGGGGATGTGTTCACGAGGCCAGGGAAGTCAGTGCAGTTTAGAACTTCTCTCTCTGTTTTTTTTAGAACAGTCCTGCTTTTAACTTTCTTCCCATCTAAGTACTAACCAGGCCCGACCCTGCTTAGTTTCCGAGATCACGCGCATTCGGGTGGTATGACAATAGACTAACTTTCTTATATGTGGGGATTCTGTGTAAAATTTTCATTTATAAAAAGTTTGAACTTTTACCTTTTGGCTTTTGAAAATGTGAAATATATCTTTAAATATGATTTCACAGTATAATATTTATAATAAACCAGCAGTGTGATTTTCAGCTTGGGGCTTAAAGAGTTCATAGAATTTTATCTTTTTCCTTTTTTTTTAAAGCTTTTTAAGGATGATATCAGGTACCTATTGACAATGGACAAACTGTGGCGGAAAAGGAAACCTCCAGTCCCATTGGACTGGGCTGAAGTACAAAGTCAAGGTAAAGAACACATTTAGTTTTGGGGATACCTAAACTGAAATCCCTCACCTAGTCTTTAAATATCCTATTGTTTCTTGAAAATGGTATGTGTTCATAGGTTGAAAAATTCAAAAGTGTCAGAAGTCAGTCAGACTTACCATCATTTACAAGGATAGCCACATTAACAGTTTAGGCAATGTTTTCACCCATTTAATGTGTGTAGACACAGGCTGTTGCATATATGTTACGTAAATGGAATCATAATATTTTGAGTAGTATGAGTATCCTTTCCTTTTTTCCCTCCTTTCTCCCCTCCCCTTCCTCCTTTTCTGTTTTGTACTGTTTTGTCTTGTCCAAGACAGGATCCACTGTGTAGCCTAGATTGTCCTTTAGATGACAATCCTTATGCTTCAGCCTCCTCAGTGTTGGGGTGTGTGCCACATGACTGACTGAAGTTTTTTTGTTTTGTCAGTTTTAGATTTGCAGTGTCTGGAGTACTATACTGATTTTTTCAATCAGTATTATTTATTTACTCATTTATTTGTTGTTTTTTTTTTTTTTTGGTTTTTTTGTTTGTTTGTTTTTGGTTTCTTTTTCCTGGTACTGGGAACCGAACTCACGACCTTGCACTTGCCAGGCAGGCGCTTTGCCACTGAGCTAAATCCCCAGCCCCCTATTTACTCATTTATTGATTAACAAGTAGTTTATAACAGAGTTGTGATGAGTATATATGTGAATCCATCTTTGTATTCTTACGATTATTTCTTCAAGATTTAATTTAGCAGTTTGTTTTTATTTATTTTTTTAAATTTTTTTTCTTTTTTTTTTCTTGGTACCAGAAATCGAACTCACGACCTTGCACTTGCCAGGCAGGTGCTGTGCCACTGAGCTAAATCCCCAGCCCCTAGCAGTTTATTTTTAAATGTTAAGGGCAGTGAGTACTTCTCCACCCCACTTTTTGTTGATACATTTTTTTTTTTTTTTTGTATCTCCTTTATCTGAATTGTTTAGGCAAGGCAGTACAGAGCACATTGGAACTTCAAAGGTTCCTAGAGACATGAGATTTTTTTGCGGGGGGTTGTCTTTTTGAGACAGGGTCTCACTGTGCAGTTCAGGCTGGGCTTGAGCTCACTTCGTAGCCCAGGCTGGTCTCGAACTCTCAGTGATCCTCCTGTCTCAGCCTCCCAAGTGCTGGGATTACAGGCGTGTGCCCCCACGCCTGGACCCAAGATATGAGATGTTACTTGGAAGCTGTTTTCAACAACATGGAATACTTAACTTGCAGGGCAGAGAGCTTCCACTTAGTGTTAACTAATGCTTACCATCTTACCTGTATTATATTCTTGAACTCCCCAATAACCATGTGAGGACCTGACATGGTCTTAGCCCTTTGCCATCTCAGCTCTTTTTTAACAGTTCTCTTCTACTGGTATTTGTATGTGATAATGGATAATTTTAATGGAGGCTTCCCTCCCCTTTTTTTGCAGTGCTGGAGATTAAACCTAGGGCTCTAAGAGAGCTGTATCCCTAGTCCTTCTTTCATTTTTTGTTTGAGACAGGGTCTCACTAAGTTGTTTAGGCTGGCCTCAAACTTGGCGATGTGTTTTTTCTTTTAATTAACTTTATTGGTACATTTTAGATTTACATAATGATAAACTTCATCATATGGAATTTGTATGTTCTTGATATATCTTTTTTTTTTTTTTTTTTTTTTTTTTTGGTTTTTCTCCAGTACCGGGAACCGAACTCACGACCTTGCGCTTGCCAGGCAGGCGCTTTTGCTGCTGAGCTAAATCCCCAACCCCTCTTGATATATCTTGATTCTTTTTTTCCCATTTCCCTTCCCTCCCTTCATCCTCTCTTCTCCTCATTTACAAATTGGGACTTCTTCTGCCCTGGCCTCCTCAGTAGCTTAGATTATAGGTATTCTCCACTGTGTCAAGGTTTTTTTTTTCATTACTGGTGAAGGATTGAATTTGTTAAATGAAACCCAATGGAGAAATTTCTAATTTTTTTTTTCAAATTTCTAATTTTCTTTTTCTTTTAGGAGAGGACACCAACACATCAGACCAACAAAATGAACCCCAGTTAGGTCTGAAAGACCAGCAGGTTCTAGATGTGAAGAGCTATGCACGTCTGTTTTCAAAGAGTATTGAGACTTTGAGAGTTCATTTAGCTGAAAAAGGCGATGGAGCTGAGCTCATATGGGATAAGGTTTGTTTTGAAAATGTGTGTTAATTGTGTCTGTATCATGTGTATATCTTAGTTTGTGAGCTGTAATAGAAGTTAAGAATTTTGAGGTATCATTTATCAGATCTTCACTTTGGTTTGTATGTTTTAATCTCTTTTGCTTGGGGTTGGTTTTTTTGTTTTTTTTTCCGGTACCAGGAATCGAACTCATGACCTTGCGCTTGCCAGGCAGGCGTTATGCCGCTGAGCTAAATCCCCAGCCTCAATCTCTTCTTACTGTATTTGCAGTATGAATTTTCTGTACATGAATTTAAGCAGTATCATAAAACTTCATTTTGGATTCTAATAACGGATTCATGGTTTATGGTGATGACAGAAAAATAATGTGAATTTATTAGGGTAGAATGTTCCCCTGACTTAAGAAATAGCCTTTAAATGCAATATAGATGTATTAATGAAAGTCATGAAATCTTTTTGGAGACAACAGCTCACTGGCTTCATTTGACCTCAGAAGTGATTAAAATTGCCTTTCTGTTGAAATAATTACAACTGTTCAGGAGGTCTGACCTAAAAACTTCACTATAAAAATGAGATAGATTTACACTTCAGTTTCAAATAATATTTAACAGTACGATGTAATGTTACATGTTTGTTTTCTTCCCTTTTTTTCTTTTTTGGTACTGGGGATTGAACTCAGGACCTTGTGCTTGGCAGGCAGGTGCATGTGCTGCTGAGCTATATCCGCGGCCCTAAAAATCCCATCTTAAACTTCTAAGGGTGCTAGGGCAACTGTTTTGTTTTATCCTTGGTACCGGGAATTGAACTTAGGACCTTGCACTTGCTAGGCAGGTGCTTGTGCCACTGAGCTATATCCCGGCCCTCTTTTTCTTGAGATGGGATCTTGCTCTGTAATTCAGCCTGGCCTTGTAGTCACTATGTAGCCCAAGTGGGTTTTGAACTTGCAGACTTGCAGCTAGCTTTCTGCCTTGGCCTCCCGGGTCCTGGGTCCTCCTGAGCCACCGTGCCTGGCTTGTAGTACATACTATATTGAGGAGTGTTTTTGTGTTTTTTTTTTTTTTCCTTTAAAGAGGGGATTGAACTCAGGGCCTCCCCTTTGAACTGCATCCCAGCCCATTTATATTTTGAGACAAGTTCTTGCTAAGTTGAGCAGGCTGGGCTCAAATATGCTAGTATCCTGCCTCAGGCTTTTATAGTGTGAGGATTATAGGCCTGTGCCGCCAATCCTGAAAATTTTACTTGATGTTAATTATAGTACATGAGTTATGTAATAAGGTTTATATCTTCTTACAGTGGTAAAGATTTACTGTGGATTTTAATGCAAAGGAAAGAGTTTGGGCATTTTTAGAAACCTGAGATAGCTATGTGTACACAGGCTTTAATTGGATCAGATATGATAGTAAATTAGATTTTTTTTTTTTGGTCTTTTTGAGACAGGCTGGCCTTGAGCTCACTTTGTATTCCAGGCTGGTCTCAACTCACAGTGATCCTCCTGCCTCAGCCTCCTGAGTGCTGGGATTACAGGTGTACGCTACCATGCCTAGCATAAATTAAATTCTTGAGATCCTTATAAACATTAGTCTTGTGTTTACGTGATACTAAAGGTAGCTTTTTCAATATTTTTGCTACTATAATGACTTTGAAAATTTATCAGTTCATAGGAACTGAATAAAAAACCCTTGGAACTGAGAATTGTTAATTTTTCTTTTTGGTAGTGGGTCTTTGCACTGAACTTAGAGATAGGTCCTCTCTGTGCACCCAGGCTGGCCTTGAACTCAGTTTGTATCCCAGGCCAGAACTCAACTGTGATCCTTTTGCCTCAGCCTCCTGAGTGCTGGGGTTATAGGCATGTGCCACCATGCGTGGCAGCAATTTTGGATTTAGGGTTGAACCAGGCATATGATGAGCTTATGTCAGACGCTCAACCTTTGCTACATCATTAGGGTGTGTCATATACAACATGGTAGTCATTCATCTTTTTTGGTAACCATCTTTATTTGCTGAAAAATGACCCAAACCATGAATAAAGTAGTAATAGTGCTTGGTGTAGGAGCTTTAGGAGCAGATCTCATGGAGCAAAGTGTGGTTTCCTTCAGCTTTAGCTGTGTATAATGAAGAGTTTTGCACAAGGAATCACATGGTGAAGGGGGCACTACAACACTTCCTTTGGTCCAGTGTTGCTTCTGAATTCTACACTGGGAAAAAATCTTCTCAAAGCAAAAGACCTCTAGAATCTAGGCTATAACTCAAACCTTTTTGCTACATTATGACTTTGCTGATGAGCATCTCCTTCAGTACCGTCCCTCATTCTGGTTGTCTGCAATCTCATGAACATGTGAGAGCACTGCTTGGAAAGCACTACTGGTCACACTGTCAAGTTGTGGAAGACTTGTTACATTATTTGTTACTGGCAGGATGACCCATCTGCGATGGATTTTGTCACCTCTGCGGCAAACCTCAGGATGCATATTTTCAGTATGAATATGAAGAGCAGATTCGATATAAAATGTAAGTTGTTCTGTACTTTATTTGTATCATTGAAACCTCAGAATTGTATTTTGTTTTTTTTAACAGCCAAACATGTCCATTTTTTTCCCCCCAGCAATGGCAGGGAACATTATTCCTGCTATTGCTACTACTAATGCAGTGATTGCCGGGTTGATAGTATTGGAAGGATTAAAGATTTTATCAGGAAAAATAGATCAATGTAGAACAGTGAGTATTTCTATTTGCTTTTTTAAAATTCAGCCTCTTTTTAAAAGTAATTTATAGTGGTTGGGAGAATATTTCAGTGCAGGGCTGTGGGTTTGATCCTGAGCACCACCAAAAAGTAAAATTTATAAAAAGCACCTTAAATGGACAACTTTTAAAATTAAACAACAAAATTGTTTTAAAGTGATGGAAAATAGGACCGAGGGTATAGCTCAGCAGCACAGCATCTGCCTGGCAAGTGCGAGGTTGCAAATTTGATTCCTGGTACCAAAAAATTTGTAATGAGTGATGGAAAATAACTTTTCCGGTCACCTTATACTCTGTTTAACCTTTCTGGAAGTTGCAGTGGTAAAGAAATCATATTTTTATTTTATCTGATAAATGGATACAGAAGCTAATTTGCTTCTAACCTTTGCACCTTTACTGAATTCTTAGAGAAATTAATTATGAACAACATCCTTGTTTTTTCAACTCTGGAAACAAAACATGCACACATGCACATACTGGTTTGTGGTGCTAGAGACTGAATCCAAAGCCTTGCACATGCTAGGCAAGCCCTATATACAGTTGAGCTACAGAAGTTGAGACCTGTCTTAATTTCAGTATACTTTAGTTGCTTTGGTTCTTTCGGGTGTTATTAAAGAAATACTATTACTGTCGGCATACGTTATCTTTTTAACATAATTATATGTTAACTATTGTTATCACAGAAAATTAGAAAATGCAATCTGTTTGGTTCCAGACATCAGTGAAAGCATTATTAAATTATGGAAATGAGTGTTGATTTTGTTAAGAGCTTAAACTTGATACGAATACATACTAGCAAGGCAACTCACAAGCTGAGTTAATAACACCAGAGACCTTTATGACTCTGTCTTTTATGTTATGTTAGGTAGCAAAGGAATGTAGAATTTTATATAACTCAAAGAAAGTGCCTTTATAATAAACAGCCTTCTTCGTGATAGCTGATTAGGAAAGAAGGTTGGAAAAATCAGACTCTCAAGATTGATTTTTTTTTTTTAAATCATTTTGACATATAATGTAAGGGGAATATTGAAGTCATGTTTTAAGTTGGATATATAGTAAGATTTTTAGATAGGTTTGCAGAATTGTATCTCACATTTCTGATTCCTGCTTGTGTTTTTTCCCCAAAGATTTTTTTAAATAAGCAACCAAACCCTAGAAAGAAGCTTCTTGTACCTTGTGCACTGGATCCTCCCAACCCCAATTGTTATGTATGTGCCAGCAAGCCAGAGGTGACTGTACGGCTTAATGTCCATAAAGTGACTGTTCTCACTTTACAAGATAAGGTGAGTGCAGGGCTGTTTCTCTTCTCTTGAGGGAGTGGGGAATCCAGCTTCCTTTTGACCTTTACATTACTACTTTGATAATAAACTAAATACCAATTAATTACTTTGAAAAGCTCTGACTGCTAAAGTGAGTCAGTCTAATTTCTTAGATTACTTCACTAGTTGGATTTCTGCTGGCTTTTTTGTGTGTATTTCCAGAATATGTACTCCTATCCTAGAATGATACAGGTGTATTTGGCTGGGATGCATACTCCATGCAGTACTGAGATGGCACAGTATTGTGGAAAACAGGAATTTTTGCTCTTTGTTACCAGATAATGGGTAAATTTCATAGTTTTGAATACTCAAACAGATACCCTTGAAGAGTCCTGTCTGTGACAGTGAGCAGAGTATTGACACGCATTGTGGAAAGTTTTGTGTTTCCAGCAGATCAAGACCCCACTTAGTATCTTCATATTAAAGGGCGTGGGTACTTTGCAGAGTTTTGGGTGCCCTGGGTGTTGGACAATGCCCAGTCCCTCTCAGATGGGATGGTGGAACGTAGCTTTTCTCATACAACCTGATTATGATGTGCTACATTAGTCCCTGAAGAGATAACAGCATTTGTACACTTGCATTCTCTTGCAGAGCTAGAGTATGGGAAATAAGGATTCGTATTATAGTCTAGTCCATAGGTTTCTTCTAAGTTGGCTAAATTACTTCCTTTGTTATTGAAAAAAATATTTAATGCCTGCAGAGTGTCACTTCACTTGATGGTCACTTCAGATTGTTCCTCTGTTGTCTTCATCAGTGTGCCGCGTGCTTACATACCTCCTGAGCTGTGGGGATAAGCCTTTGCTCTTTGGGAAAGGAGGCTTGGTAGCGACAGACGTTCTCAGAACTGCTTACACAGGGCAGACTGACTTGCACTCACATTTTAGTCAGGGAAAAAGCGGGTCTTGGTAAGCTGAGGAGAATGGCTGTCTCACTTTCTAGGAAATAATTATTGTTATGTGTTGACTGTTGAGATTAACAGTAGTTCCTCTTTTTGTAGAGTAATTAGACCTATATATAGAGAGATTTGTCATTATTTTATAGAAGCAGGTAGAAATTAATAGAATATTACCACCTCTAAATGCATCTTGGAATTTAAAGAGAGATGGCATTTGGGAAGGACATAGTTATCTGAGAGTCAAGGTAAGTTTTTACATCTAACATTTTCCATTACAGGGTTGGCACAGAGACTGAGATGAAATATTTCAAGTGTGTAGGCCACTTCCCAGTCTGTAGGAAAAGATAAAATAGCAAGAGCCAGTCAAGGAGTTCTGGGTCCCGTTTGGAGGAATTTTGATATGATCTGTATCTGTGGTCAGATACAGGGATGGAAGGAACATGAGTAAATTACCAGTTTTCCTGCTTGCCCTAACTCTTTCAAGTGGAACAGGAATATAAGTGCCTTTATGGAAAAGGTGTGTAGGCTTTTTATGATCTGTAATTACCTATGTTAACATTTTGAATCTTTTTTTCCTTATAGATAGTGAAAGAGAAATTTGCTATGGTTGCACCAGATGTTCAAATTGAAGATGGAAAAGGAACAATCCTAATATCTTCAGAAGAAGGAGAGACAGAAGGTACTATCATTGCATCTTTTTTTGTCCTCATTTGGGTGGAGGGAACAGTAGTTTATCCGTTCACTGTATATGACTCAGTTTCACCACAATGGAGGTGATGTTTAGTCAAGGAGGTGCTCCCCCTTGGTGGTGTTGACCTTGCTGGGGTCAGCACGATTCCAGATTTGAGAGTTCTGTGCTATTCTGGTGCCTTAGGGACAGTTTCTCAGTAACCAATGTGCAGATGTTATTTATAGTAACTGCAGTAGGCTTGTCCACTTCCAAGGCACTCACTTCCTGTATCATGGGTGCGGGTAGGTAAGTTGGTGATGAGAAGACTATTTGGCTGTTAATTCAGAGTGGAAAGGGCAGTCTGAATTTCTGGGGTGTTTTGTCCAGGAGTAAGAAATCTTTGATAGTCTGCTTCTCCATAGCAGAAAATACTGCTGAAAAATCAGTGCCCGGTTTCTATTTTCTGAGCTTTCCTTTCAAAACTCCAAGCAGGAGCTGGGGGTTCAGTTCAAGAGTAGAGCACTTGCCTTGTGTACCCTAGACCCTGGTTCAATACTCAGAACTGCCCTCCTCCCAGAAAGAGCAGGTCAGCCTTTTGTTAATGTATTTGTTACATAAGGCAGAATGCATTTGGTTTTGCTGAACTTCCTTAGTGAGAATTTTCTTGTACTATCTCCTTCAGATTGTACTAGATTGTCTGAATGGATTTAAAAGTTCTCATACTTCCTCTGCACTTCCGTAGCTCATTTCTTGGGTTAGAAGGTATTTTTAACATACCCTCATTTTTTTAGTCCTGTACCATTATTTTCAGAGGTTAGGTGTACTTTTCCCTTGTGTTTACTTATTTGTCCAGGGGGCCGGTATTCATTATACTTCGTTAGATCCTGATGGGGAATTTAAATATTGTCTTTAAATTAAGATTTAATATTGGAATTCTTGATAGTTGCTGGTTGAGAAAATTGTTTGGGATATTAGGTCATTTGTAATTGGAGATCATGTATTGGCTGGGTGCTAGTCTATTTTAGGAGTCTAGTTAAATATTTAAGCCCCATTTTAACCATCTGTCTTCATCCCACTCCTCCCAAGCACCTGTAATCATACGCTGTCCCCTTAGTTTTCATCAGCTCTTTAAAATGGTACTTAAAAATGGAAACTGGTCAAGAATCTCAGTTCCTTAAATGTTGTCATTTTCCATGCTACTGAGTGAGACAGCAGTTACTCAGATGTGTTTGCAATCTTGTGTTAAAGGCCTGTTCATAACAAAGATGGGCAAGACAGTGGTCCTTGGCTTTAAGTACTTTATAGCTTGGACAGATTGAAGAGATTATTGACAAATGGATTTAATTTACAAGGAAATTACCTAGAAGGATAGTATACAGAGTATGAGTTGAAAGAATTTTTGAGTATTTTGTGAAGAGAGAGTTAGCTTCTTCAAGAAATAAGGATCTTGCTAGGCGTGGTGGCGCACGCCTGTAATCCCAGCACTTGGGAGGCTGAGGGAGGAGGATCATCGTGAGTTCAAGACCAGCCTGGGCTACAAAGTGAGCTCAAGAGGGGCTGGGGATTTAGCTCAGCGGCACAGCGCCTGCCTGGCAAGTGTGATGTCCTGAGTTCTATTCCTGGTACCAGAAGAAAAACAAAAAAACAAAAACCAAAAAAAAAAAAGTGAGTGCAAGGCGGGCCTGAACTGCATAGCGAGACCCTGTCTCAAAAACAAAAACAAAACAAAACAAAAAAAGAAATAAGGATCCTGTGGACAGAGAAGGGGGAGTCTGGCATTTGAACAGAGTAAATACCATATAAAAGTCATAAACTTAAAACAGTACAAGAGAGATTTGGGGTTCGCCAGTTAGTATTTGCCTACAGTGTCTAATGAAAGTGTCACAGTGTTGGCAGTGACGGTTAGGCACTTCCTGTGTCATACATATCATTGTGGTCTTCCTCCTGTCCCTTGAGTTCCCATTTGCCCAGGATCCTCCCACGCGGTTTAAACAGAGCGACAGTGTGGTTCAGTATGTTCTACATGAGTAGGGAAGCCAGTTAAGGAGAAGAGTGAAGGGAATGAGGGATTTTAGTGAAACAGGTAGATGACAGATTTGAGAATCACAAAGTCAGAATTTAGAGGACAGATAGGGAAAAGTAAATAGCATCGTTAGGCCTGTACATGACTGTTGCCTGGACTCTAGCTTCAGAGATGAAGCTAATTCACGAAGAGAAAAAACCACATTGCCCAGGCATGATGGCGTACGTCTGTAATCCCAGCACTCACTCGGGAGCCTGAGGTAGGAGGATCGTTGTGAGTTTGAGACCAGCCTGGGCTACAAAGTGAGCTCAAGGCCAGCCTGAGCTGCATAGCAAGACCCTGTCTCAAAAAGACAAAAAACAAAACAAAACAAAACAAAAACCACATTAAGCTAGACATAGTGTGCACACCTATAATCCTAGTACTTAGGAAGCTGAGGAACATGAGTTTAGTGTTTTAAAAACTAACCAGACTTCATGAGAACATAAATAATCTACATTCCTTTCGTATTTCCTAGCTAATAATCATAAGAAGTTGTCAGAATTTGGAATTAGAAATGGCAGCCGGCTTCAAGCAGATGACTTTCTTCAGGACTACACTTTATTGATCAACATCCTTCATAGGTAGGCACTATCAATATTTTAAATATAAGAAATTATGAATATGCAAACTGGAGATAAAGTGAAGGAAAAATGTTTTCTTACCCTTCAACTCTGCTGTTCACTTGAAACTGTACAGTATATTTGAGTTGGCCACTGGGTTCCCTGAAGTTTAATCTAGAGAAAAATTTTTGAGATTTATAAATAAAAAGGATAAGCAAAACAAATTCTTGTTTAAAGAACTGTCAACAGCCGGGGGTGGGGGGGGGCGGTGCACGCCTGTAATCCCAGCACTCGGGAGGCTGAGGCAGGAGGATTGTTGGAAGTTTGAGACCAGCCTGGGCTACAAAGTGAGCTCAAAGCCAGCCTGAACTGCATAGCGAGACCCTGTCTCAAAAAGACTGACTGACTGACTTACTGACTAAATAAATAAATAAATAAGACAGAACTGTCAGCAGTGGTGACTGATAGAATGACACAGGCTCTGGGACTTTGAACTTTTTTAATCACAGGTAAATTCATTTCAATAAATAAACTGCAGTGAAATCTTAAGCTTTTTTTTTTTTAACTTCCCTAGAATAAAGAAGAAATATTTCTCCCACAAGGCAAATAATTTTATTTGTGATTCTGTGACAGTAACAGAAGACTTAAGAATTACGCTATTGGACATGGTGTTACAGGCCTATAGTCCCAGAACTTGTGAGAATGAGGCAGGAAGATTTCAAATTTGAGGCCAGCCTGCATTACATATCAAGACCCTTTCTCAGAAAACAAAAAACAAAAAGGAATTATCCTGTACAGATTCCTGCATTATATATTTTTTCTATTTGATTTTACTTCTTGTCTCCTTTTGAAAAAAATACTCAAAGTGCTCTCTGTTATAGATGTATCCAGCAACCTATGATACAAATGGTCCTGTACTTTTTCTTCCCTTTGGTGGTACTGTGCATGGAACCCAGGCCCTTGCACTGATCTACAATCCCAGCCCTGTTTTGTTTTGTCGCGTTGTGTTGAGACAAGGTCTCACTATATAAGTCAAGCTGGCCTAGAACTCATTGTGCAGCCCAGGCTGCCCTCAAACTTGGGGTGATCCTCCTGCCTTAGCCTCCTGAGTATTGGGATTATAGGCATGTACCATTGTGCTTGGATACCCCTTTTTCTGAACTGGGTCTTGCTAAATTGCCCAGGCTCCCAGAGTACTGGGATTACAGGCATGTGCCTAGATGGCTGGCTATTTGTATATTAATACACTGAACAAGGTACCTTTTTAAAAATTCTCATTGATATCCATAAACTGACAGAGTTAGATTGGTATTGCTTGACAGAGAGTTAGATTGGTATTGCTTCGCATCCATTCATTTTGTTATTGTCATCTGTTTTCCAATGTGTAGTGTGTGGTTGGTTGGAGAAATTAACTTTGTTTTTGTTTTGTCTTTTTGAGACAGCTATGCAGTTCATGCTGGCCTTGAGCTCACTTTGTAGCCAGGCTGTCTCAAACTTGCGACAATCCTCCTGCCTCAGCCTCTCATGTGCTGGGATTATAGGCATGGGCTACTATACCTGACTTATTTTAATATTTTAAAAAACAGAAATCAAATATGTGGTATGAACATAGTGTTTGTGTTGAGTTTTGAAGAGTAATGTCTCTGATTGCTCCTTTGCTGTGTAAATAGTCACAGCAGTAGTCCTGTTTTATGGTATGTGGTTCTCTTACAGTGAAGACTTAGGCAAGGATGTTGAATTTGAAGTTGTTGGTGATGCTCCGGATAAAGTAGGGCCTAAACAAGCAGAAGATGCCTCCAAAAGCATAACCAATGGCAGTGATGATGGAGCCCAGCCTTCCACCTCCACAGGTAAGTCCTGGCCTAGCCAGCAGGTAATTCATCACCCGCAAAGCACAAGTATGTAGAAACAAATTGTGGTTGGTTACATTTGTGAACTCTGATTGTGAGATAGAAATCCATAAAAAATACAAAGGTTATATGTTGGTTTAGTACTGATTTTTTTTTTTTTTTTTTGTCTTTTTGAGACAGGGTCTCGCTATGCAGTTCAGGCTGGCCTTGAGCTCACTTTGTAGCCCAGGCTGGCCTCGAACTCGCAACGATCTTCCTGCCTCAGCCTCCCGAGTGCTCGGATTACAGGCGTGCACCACCACACCCAGCTTTAGTACTGATTTTTGTGATGGAGCTTTGAATATTTGACCCCTGGACACATTTAGACTGAGGGAAATTCTTAGAGGAAATAAAAACCCTTTGTTATTCTTAAGTTGCTTTTTTTTAAAGTTGCTTTTTATAACGAAATGTCAGTGAGTTTACTAGTACATAAAGTGAGTTCTGTCTACAGAGTAGGCTGTGCCTCTTTTATTTAGGAGCAACAAGTCAATGCATCTGACCATTTTGAGTGAATAGATGCTTGGTAAGTATGGAATTCTAGCACTATAAAGTTTTCTTATAAGCCAGTGTGACTTTGGTAAGGTGGAGTTTCAGTGCTGGTACTTGGTGCTTTGCCAAACAACTGATTGTTTACTGTGCTCTGATTTGGATGTTTATTTTCCTCCCCTTCACTCTTTATTCAGGAAACTAAAGGCTACCACTTTTTAACTTCTCTCTCTCCATTTCCTTAACCTCCCTCCCCTTTCTGTCTTTGGCATTCTTTGGGATATATTTATTCTTGGTTCTAGTGTTCTCTGAAAGTTCGGGGGGTGGACTTGGAGGCTGTAGAGTATGGTCGTCCCATGGGCTGTTGATTTGTGACCTTTCCCTCCACTGAAACAGTCTCCTTTGAGGCTGCTCTGGTAGTTTTTAATCATAATTTAAAATAAACATTTACAGGTCTTTTGCTCTGCATAGGTTTCAGAGGCTATATAGCAATAAAATAAGTATTCTGCTTTTGATTTTTACTTGGGGCCAAGGGAATAAAACTACCTTTGGTATAAGATTCAGCATATAAAATTTGGCGCCCTACTCAGTGGGTTTGAATCCCAGCCTTACCCTCTGCTACTGTATGTGTATGTGTGTGTGTGTGTGTGTGTGTATATATATATTCTACCTTTCTCTGTACGTTGGTGGAAAATGGGTAATAATGTGACGCTTCTTTATAGAGTTGTTGTCATGATGAAATGAGTAGCTGTATGCATAGTGTCCAAACAATTCCTGGCACATTGTAAAAACTTGGTTATTGTTAATGTTGATGTTTATCTCAACCGCTATTAGGATATTCATCTTCCACTTTCAGGTTGGAAAATCAGTGAAGCACAATTTTCTGAGTTATGTAATGCTTGTAGTTTTTTGTTTTGCTTAGAAAAGAAATAGGTAGGTCCTTGGCCTTGGTTCAGTTCTCAGTAACCCCTCCCCCGCAAAAGAAAGAAAACCGATACTTGTTGTATGAAAACATTTAAGATAGTTTAGAACCAAATATGTGATGTGTGAAGGTTCCATAAGGGTAGCAGTAGCCATTCTTAAGTTTGGTGTATAGTCAAAGTTACCTTTAAGTTACATATTAATTATTGGTGAGCCACTAATAACTCCCACACTTTTAACCATTTTTTTCCTTTTTTCTGAAATAAGCACAAGAGCAAGATGATGTGCTCATAGTTGACTCAGATGAAGAAGGTCCTTCAAATAATGCTGACAACAGTGAAGACGAGAGAAATCGCAAGAGGAAATTAGATGAAAAAGAGAGTATCAGTGCAAAGAGGTCTCGGATGGAACAGAGGGAAGAGCTTGATGACGTCATAGCATTAGATTGAACAAAAAACCCTGGCTCTGTCAGCTCATCTGGGCACAACCAGATCATTTGTTACGTCCTTTGTTCCAAAGGGAAGATACTGACACCAGTGACTTGAAAGTGATTCTGCTCCCTTTGAAAGCATTCATTTTGCTAGAACTATTAGAAACATTGCAGTATGCTGTATTGAAAGTAGGAATATAGTTTTTAAACCCTTTGAACAAACTGTGTGCATAACCAGTTACGAGATAAAACAACACAATGCATGTTGCCTTTTTAATGTAAATACCCTTAGGTATCATTTAATAGTTTAAAAATATTGTGGTTTAGTAAAGTTGATACCTGGTTATAAATACTATGCCTTTATTTTTGGCTAGAAGAAGAATTATTTTTAGCCTAGATCTAACCATTTTCATACTCTTAACTGAGACAGATTCAAAGAAATATCAAGTGCTATGCATTGAAACCTGTTTTTAAATGTTAAATGGCGCTATGTATATTAATGTAAAACAATGTTAATTTACTCAGATTTTCAGTTTTTACTGCCTGATATGTCTGTGTAAGAAGCCAATTTTTGTGTATTGTTACAATTTCAGGTTATTTATATTTGATGTTTTGTAAAACTCAAATTAACGAATATACTGTACTATGGACCAAATAAATGGCATCTGCATAATTGTTATAATGCCTGCATAGTTCCCATTTCTGCCGCCTTACTGAGTTTGGGCATTATAGTTACTGCAGGCATGCTGAAATCTTATTATGTAAAGATACTAATTCAGGGCTGGGGGTGTAGCTCAGTGGTATAGTCCACAGGGTTTCAACTATGTAGTCAGGCTGGCTTTGAACTTGAAGTGATCCTCCTGCCTCAGCCTCTCTGCTGCTAGGATTACAGGTGTGTGCCACCATGAGATGCTGAGTGATACAGTCTTTGCTTAGGATTTGTGAGGCTTTGGTTCAGTCCCTATTAGTGCATAAAAATTAATAATGAACTCCTAGTGGGAGTAGATATAGTGAGTATGAAGGTTTGAAAGATCTCCATTGTTTGCCTTAGTACTTTCTACAATAGAGTTCTTTTTTTTTTTTTTTTTTTGGCGGTACCGGGGGTCAAACTCACAACCTTGCACTTGCCAGGGAGGCACTTACACCCCTGAGCTATATCCCCAGCCC